AGGAAATGAAACATAGGGAAAGTAATTGTAATGTCGATTAGGGAAGAAATGCACTTTCAATAGACTGAAAGCATGTCATCTCTATGGTCAGAATGACAATGATTCTGTCCCAGGCACAGGTTTTTCTGGAAGTATATGGAGCTTAGAGCTTGTCCAGGGACATGAGTCACTGCCTTTAATAAACCTGGGCATGATTTGAGGATCTATTACTTTAGAACTATTCATTGACCCCCACCATAGGATGCAATGAAGCCATCATTAGTTCCTAGGTAGATAAGATATCCTCAGAGAACTCATCTTGTGACCACATGCTGATTGGAATGTTAATTACAATGTTTTGTTTTGTTGTTCTCAGTCACCATGCAATCTCATCCTCCATTTTAAAGTTTCTTTTGCATTTCTCCACCACTCCAGACTATTACTTATCAGCCAACTCATGATATTACAAATATATGAATGGTTGTTTGAAAGACATGGGTTTTTTTAGAGACAGGGCTGGTTCAGTTGTCCAAGATAGTCTCCTGATTATTTTCACTCAGATTACCTAGGAACAGAGCAACTCACCCAGGAAAAGATGTACTTAAAATGTCAGACCAATAAGAGTTCTTTATGACATTTCTGTGCTTGTATATATTGTATTCCTGTCAAGTCTCTCCTGATTCCCCCTTATCCCAGCTCCTCTCTTCCTAACACAAATTCAAGGTATTTCATTTTATCTCAATAGTTGCCAACAATCTATTTTGACAATATCAACCCTCTTTCCCTTCATTAGCCCAACTTCTGCACCCTACACCTTGCTAGTAGTACCCATTCCCCCAACAGAGCTCATCTCTCTCTTTCTTTCCTCTCCTCCAACCTTCACTGAGGGGCTTTATGTTATTTTCATAGACAGTTGCAGTGTACTTCAAAATTATTATCTTTCTTTTCCTCTATGCTCTATGTTTATCTATCTAACCTTTCTTTTCCTCTATGCTCTGTTTATCTATCTTTCTTTTCCTCTATGTTCTATGTTTATCTATCTATCTATTTATCTAATTACATATATGTTCAATTCATGAATATGTATTTTAGTACATCAACATATTTTTATTGTAACAGTTTGCAAAGTTCATTCACATTGTTTTAGATTTAGCACAGCCACTTACTAGCTTTTGATGTAAATAGCAGAGAAGAAATTCTAAAGACTATTTCAAAGACCCACATTTTTTTCATTAATAAGTTTTTTTTATTGTGAAAATACTGTACAGAGGGGTTACAATTACATGAGCAAGGTAATGAGTACATTTCTTATCAAGCATTCTTGCCTTCTCCTTTGTTTCCCCTTATCATCCCTGCTCTCCCATTCCCCCCACCCCCCGCCCTGCTGCCAAAGTTGTAAAGTTCGTTTTTTGACATAACGTCTGTCTTGTACATCTCATTGTTGCAATGGGTCCACCTGTATCCCTATTTAAACCATTTGTTTTTTCCCTTCCCCTCTACAAATTATACCAACATCAAATACAGTGAAAGCAGGGGTTATACCGAGGGGGAGGGACATACAAAGCAACAAAGAATCTTATAAATATGTTAGAAACAATAGCAAGAAAGAAAAAACATTTGAATCCTTATCTTGGGGTTCATTTCACCTAACATCAACTTATCTGACTTTTTCTGCTTGTCTCAGAGTTTATTTGGTCCTGGCTTACTTCACTTAATATAATTTTTTCCAAGTCTTTCCATTTCCTAGTAAATGGGGCGATGTCATTCTTTCTGATGGAGGCATAGAATTTCATTGTGTGTATGTGTATATATATCACATTTTCTTGATCCATTCATCTACTGAGGGGCATTTGGGTTGGTTCCATATCTTAGCTATGGTAAATAACGCTGCAATACATATAGTTGTGTTGGTAGCTTTAGTATGGTCAAAGACCAACATTTTTTTTCATATCCTTCCACAGAGCAACAATTGAATGAAAAGCAAATACACCTCTTTTCCATATAAGTAGACAAACTTTTTTCTCTTTGCAAAAAAAGCAAACAACTTTACTTCCCTGAAAATGTTTTCCCTCCACTATCCACTAGAAAATGAAGGCTCAAAAAAACAAACAAACAAACAAGAAAAATAAAAAAGGAAAAAAAAAGGACGGTCCACAGCAGTGATCTACCATCCTAGAATCTCACAAACTATAAATAGGCAAGCTGGGATTTCAATGGAAGTTCTCTCTTATTTTAGATCCCTTTTGTCCACAAGGAACTATGTCCCCCAGCTGCAAATTGTGCTAGCCAGATATAATCCTTGCTGGAGGAGGGAAGGGCAGAAGGGTCTGGCTATATCATAAACTTTTATAGAAGTCCACAGCCAGAGGACATGTTAGTTTTGCTTTATAAGTTATGAATTACAGGGTGTTTGTCTTTAATAAAGACATCCTTTTCCCTAAGTGTTCACAATTGCTTGAACTCCTAGCCATAGATGCAGTTTAAGGCTGCTAAGCAATAGCTGCACTCCTGCATTTCCTGTAATATTCATATGGAAGTTTAGAGTTGGGAAGTGTCCCTCTGGTAGGTGTTTGGCACCCCGCAATTTCTACACTACCCGTCAATCAAATGAATGTGCATGATATGTCACAGGATAGAAGTTAGATGATATATTCTAAATCGTAATTCACCACGTGAAAACTACCAAAAACATTAAGAAATCAAGGAAGCTCAAGTCTGCTTCAGTAAGATGAAATTGTACTCTGAAATTTAAGCCAGTCTCTCCACAGTTGAGCCACCCCTGGCAGAGTTCAAACAAAGGCTGAAGGCAAACAGGTTTGTTGGGGGGAAATGAGTAAGTGGGTCTCCCTGGAGCAGTGTGAAGTCATGTGGTCAAGGTAATGCTTCCCAGAGGTGAAACTGCTGTGTGTGTGAGACAGGGTAGGAGTGGAGGAAAGGTAGAGCAGAAAGCAGAAAGCATAGCAAGGCCCAACTGGGATGCAGTGCAGACTCTGGTACTGCTGACCCTCATCATATTCCTCAGCACCACACCTAGTCTGATGACTTGCATGCATCACTCCAGTTGACCTACTTTTCTGTTTCTCACTAACTCCTTTATCATTGCCCACATTCCTAATAATCCTGATAAGAACCAACCTTTGCCCAGTTATCAAGACCTGGTTGAACTGAGAAAGGGCACACTTCAGAGGTCTTTGGAAGAGAAAGAGAAAAGTCAAAGAGATGGGAACCAAAAAGGAAAGTGATGTTTTTAATCCACTACAATTTCAGCAGATTCTCGGGGAAAAAAAAGTTAATTTGGAAACTCATTTTCATTTTTTCCTAAACAGTGCCACCTACTGTCCATTTTGAGTCATAAGGATTTTTTTTTCTTCTTTTTTTTCTTTTCCAAGAACAGAGAAAGAACAGCGAAAGGAGCTAGGGAAACGGACCCATCAAACCAACGTTGGGAGCATTAAAAGAAATATATGATTTCGAAGCAAGAATAAGTATGTTGAGCATTCGTAGAAGGCTAGCAAGAAGCAAAGGTCACTGAAGACATTTCTTCAGAGATTACCGTATTTTTTTAAGCATGCTATTCAACTCTGGCAGTTTTTCTTTTTAAATTGAATTGCATTTTCATTTTTCATGCATGCTGCTTGCATATTTCAGGCTTGGGAATCACGTCGAGCAATATACATTTTCCTTTTTTCCCGCCCACCCACAGCGAAAACTTGGGCACAAGGGAAGCTTTTGACATTTGATGTCCTCAGCTTGGAAACTTTGGGGTTGGCAAAAAAAGGAAAGAGTTAAAAAGTGGCACCCTAAGTCACAGTCTTTTTTTTTTTAAGAGTTCGGGGTGACTTGGGGGAAGCCTCCAGGTTCGCGCGCTCACCCCTCATCTTCTCCGTCCCAACCCAGCGATCCCGCCCCGCGCAATTACTTAGCCAAAGGGCACCATTTGGCTTTCAAACAAATTACTTCAACGCCACGGGGAGTCGGGCGCAAGGAGGGGGGTCGGGGAGAGACCATCCTCCAAAGGGACCCGGGATTTGAGGACCATCGACAAAGCGGGGCCTCCCAGCGCCATCCGCCGCTGGAGGAGAGGAAATCAGGTGGTGGCCAGAGCGTTTCTGCTGCACACGTTAACAATCAAGTTAATTGAATTCATTGGCGTTCAGAATCTGCTTCTACCTCCGAGAGGGCTTTGAATGGCCAATTTCTCTCTCCTCCCCCCCCCCCCCATTCCCCGCAATCCCTCCCTCCCTCCTCCCCGCCTCGCGCCCTCCCACACTCCCAGTTCCCTCCCCTCCGGGTTTCCCAGTCCACACCTCCCTCCTCCACTCCCCTCACCCCCCACTCCCTCCTCCGCCCTATTAAAACACCCACTAGCTCACTTGTTAAGACCCCCTTAAGTTGGAGGAGGCAGACAGGCAACAACAGCGAGGAAGAAGTCAAGACGTCTGGAAAGAATTACCCAGTCCTGGCTTCAAGCAGTCCATTGAACCAGGGACTTGAACCAGCCCTAGCCAAAGACTTTTCTCTTGATTCTGTGCTCCTTGGGTTCTGCTGAGGTTTCTCCTCCCCGCCAACCGGCGCCTTTTTTTTTTTTTTTTTTTAATTTTCTTGACACAAAAAAATAAAAAAAAAAAAAGGGAGAGACACGCAGAAAGAGAGAGACAGAGACAGAGAGAGACTTTTCCCACTGAGGGGAGGGAAACTGGAACCACAACAACAAAAGTTAATTTATTTTTAAGGCACAGCTCGTTTTTTAATATTTTTTAAAACAATGAATTGCAAGGCTGAAGTGCAACGGACGTAATTAAGAGACTATTAGTGATTTTTTTCCTTTGAAAAGTGGGGGAGCACCAAATATTGAAGACCCCCCCTCCTCCCCACACACCCTATCTTTTTTTTTTTTTAATGCTGTTTTTAAATTTCTTGTTTTTCTTGGCCGATCGTCTCAAATTCATCTGATCTCTTATTACCTCAATTTTGGAAACTGCCTTCCAGCGACCCACCGGGACCACACAGCCAGCCTGCCGACGATTTTATGACCAAGAGCCGAGCAAGGTAGGGGAACAGCAGGCGTGTTTGGGTGAAGGAAGACGATCCTTCCTTGGGTCCGGGAGAGGGAAGAAATAATCCATATTATTATTATCATCATCATCATCGTCGTCGTTATTAATTATCAGTTTCTATAGAAAAGTTTGAGGTCTGAACATTTCCAACAGGCTGAAACCTCTAGAGCTGGTTCCGCATCCTAACGGCTTTTCTGGGTACCAGGTCACCTCTGTCTGGCTGAGGCCAGTGTTCCCTCCAGAGGTGTACTTTTCCATCCTGCCTTTTCCGGACGGAGCTGAGTGAGGGAACAAGCTTTTTTTTTTCCCACACTTGGTCCGCACACGCCTTCTTTCCCCCCTAAACCATCTCTCTCCCTTCCCTCTTCCCCCCACTTTTTTTTTCTCTCTCGCGCTTGGTGAGGGGAGAACGATCCTAGAAAAGCCTGGCCCATTTGACCTGGAAGTGAAGCTCAGTTCTTGCTTGGGAGGACAGGGTTAAGCGGGTCCGGTCGGGCAGCTCGGGTGGGGGGGGGGGGGGGGAGGGTCCTGCGCCACCGGCCTCTTTCGGCCACTCCCCCCTTCTCCTCGGGCCCCCCCCCTCCGTCTAGGTGTCAGGATCGTTGTGCCCAGGGGTGGGGGGGGGGGGGGGTCGGCTCCGCCGGGGATCCCCGCGGCCGGCGGTGGCCGGAGGAGGCGCGCATCCCTCGGTGCGCGGTCCCCACGCGCGTCCGGGGCCAAGGCCGACGTGGCACGGGGTGCGCGGGCGCTTCTCGCCTCCGCCTGGGCCGGGGGCAGCGCCGGTGGGGTGGGGTGGGAGGTGGGGGACACGTCGGGAGCTTCCAGCCCCGGGTGGGGTGGGGGCGGCCCTCAGGGCCCGCGGGAGCCGGGCTGGCGCTGGGGACGGACTCCGGCACCTCGGGCGTGAGCGCCGGCTGGGGAAGGGGGTGTGGGGGACCGGAGGGCGGGTCTGAAAGGAGGTCTGTGTGAGGCTGGGTGGGATGGGGGGGGGGGGTGAGAGCGAGCGAGCGGGTTCCCCCAGCCAAGAAAACGCAGCCCGGGCTCACGGCGCTGAAAGGATCGTTCAGGCTGAAAAACCCGAGCCGGGTCCGGTTACACAGGGCGAGGTGTCGGTTTCCAGCCGCGCCCGGCCCGCCGGAGGGCTCAGCGGGTACCCAGCGCCCAGGGCGGGGGAACGCCAGCAGCGGCAGCCTCAGTTTCCCCTCTCCCCGCCCCGCGCCGTCGGCCCCGCCCCGCCTCCAGCTCCCCACCCTGGGCGGGGGGGACGCAGCTGCCAAATGGGACTCTCCAGCCGTGGCGCGGAAACGCGGCTCTGCTCCACCCCACGTGGCCGAGCTGGGATCGCCTCTGACGTCACGGCCAGGGGTGGGGGAGACGTGACGCAAGCCGTGCGGAAGCCCTGATTGGCCACCAAGGGCATCCCCCAAGGAAGGCCTGAATGGATCTAGAAGCTGGGGGGGGGGGGGGACGGTGGGGTGGCACTGGGGGAGTCGGTGGGTGGGCTTCCATGGAGTAAGAGGAGGAGACTGAGAACTTCCCCTCCCACCCCTTGTAGATTTTAAGTGTGGACCTCTGGCTTCTCACCACCTATAATAAACGCAGCGCTGGGGATGATTAAATCAGATAATATTTTTAAGCGTAATTTTAAGATTCCAGATCCTTACTGGCCTATGTACATTCAAACTCAGAATATATAGAGCTTTAAGATTTTTTTTAATACACGAAGCTAGAACAAATACATACCTATACCCCTCAACCGATTTGTAGACAACATTTAAAAATTTTTAAGAGAATTGATGTGAAAAGAGCGCCTAAACTTTAAATGCTTTCTTTTCCTTCCAACGTGTGTGTTAACCTTTTTTTGTCTACAGAATTAATAAGAATATATGCTGACATAGTGGTTTTTGTTCATTGTGGTTAAATATATATGTGTGTATATATATATATGCCAATATGCCATCATGATCTAGAGGTTTCCCTAGTATTTGGCTATTCTTTTACATTTTCTATGAAAGCTAATACATTATAAAATACTTAATCTAGTGTGTATGCATATTTATATATACATACATATATACTGCATGCATATCAATATATATAATGTGTGCATATAATGTGTATATATTATATTACAGGCACACTATATATGATGTATATGTCTGTAGTTCTGGGACAGATAATTTCAAATTCTATGTGCACTTTTTTTATTAAAGCCTTATAGACTATTATTCTTACAGGTTTCATTTTCTCATATGAGTTGGCTGAATAGAGAAACATTGCAGATACATTGACAGATAAATGATTTTTTAGTACATAAAAATGAATTCACATATTACCAAGAAGAATTATACAACATATTAAAAACTCAAGAATTTAACCAATTATCAACTAGCATCAAATTTAAATATCACTCTCAACAAACTAAACATGATAACTGTCAGCTACTATCCTTGCCAACAAGAATTGTACCACAAATGAACAAGAAACTACTACTAGAAAGTAAGTTAGCATGTAAGTTTCTGGGCTATAACTCCACAATACTGAATTTCATAAATACTTTACCGTACGCAGTTTCTGTTTTCAATATAATTCTTTTTTTTTTTTTTTTTTTTTTTGTCAGTCATGGGGTTTGAACTGTGGGCCTGGGCACTGTCCCTCAGCTCTTCAGCTCAAGGCTAGAGCTCTACCACTTGAGCCACAGTACCGCTTCTGGTTTTCTGGTGGTTAATTGGAGATAAGAGTCTCATGGACACTCCTTCCTGAGCTGGCTTTGAACTAAGATCCCTCAGCCTCCTGAGTAGCTAGGATTACAGGTGTGAGCCACCTGCTCCCAGTTCATGATAATCCTTTTTTTTTTTTTTTTTCCAAATCCTGAGGCTTGAATTCAGAGCCTGGGCTCTGTCCCTGAGCCTCTCTGTACTCAAGGCTAGCGCTCTACCACTTGAGCCACTGCACCACTTCCAGCTTTTTATGTTTGTGTGGTACTGAGGAATCGAACCCAGGGCTTCATGAGTGCTAGGCAAAAGCACTCTACCACTAAGCCACATTCCCAACCCGCACTATAATTTTTTTTTTTTTTTTTGGTTGTGGGGCCTGAACTCTGGGCCTGTGTCCCTCAGCTCTTCAGCTCAAGGCTAGCGCTGTACCACTTGAGCCACAGCGCCAGTTCTGTTTTTTTCTATATATGTGGTGCTGAGGAATGGAACCCAGGGCTTCATACGCATGTATGAGGCAAGTGCTCTACCACTGAGCCACCTTCCCAGCCCCTTACTATAATTCTTTTAAAACATTTTTCAGCATGTATCTTTCTCATTCATTTTCTGTTCTTGTCAGTAGGAAGAAAGCCCTTTGCTTAGGGAGCAAGGTGGAGATCCCTGTTGGTGAAATTATAGTATACAATTTCATTTTAAATCTAAGACATAACAAGTAGTTTGTTACGCTATTAGCTTCTTGCATCTTGCATGAAGTACAATCCATAAATTATGAAATGGGAGAGTAGAGAGTAAATCCCATTTTGGGGGACTCTCCTTTCTAGCCAGGTTGTGTTTCCTTTAAGAGACTACAGGGACAAAGCTGGCACCTGCTACAGCATCAGCCAAGTGGGCCAGTTCTGGCTATAGAAAACTCATTTCTTCTACCACAACTTGGCTGTAGTAATCCTTCTCTTCACAATTGGAATGTGGTAAGTATCATCCTCTCATGTCCAGTTTTAAATAATCTAAGAATAAGATTTCACAGAGACTGGACAGTTATGCTATGTTTTGCTACCTATGGTTTTGACTTAACATAGGTAGTTTGTGAGAGTCAATATAGGTAATACAGCATATCAAGTCATTGTAATATTTGCCTTTAATGTGAATTAAGTTTAGGATGGTGAAGCTCAGGAACCCAGAGAGCATTTGGAAAGGTTGACTTGCTAGGAGTAATTGATTGAAGTTGATAAGGCAAAGGAAGAGAAATCTGAAACTTGAAGCTCTGGATGAGGCCACCAGTGGGTTAAGGCCTTTGAAAAGTTTGTATACCAGCCTTGTCAGTTTGGCTCCGGGATCTCTGCTAGGAAAACTCCAGTGGGACTGGGGAGTAAAGCCAGAGAGGAAAAAGCTATGAGAGAGAGAGAGAGACAGAGACAGAGAGAGACAGAGAGAGACAGAGACAGAGACAGAGAGACAGAGAGAAAGAGACAGAGAGACAGGGAGACAGAGAGAGACAGACAGAGACAGACAGGGACAGAGACAGACAGAGACAGAGAGAATGAGAGACAGACAGAGACAGAGAGACACAGAGAGACAGAGAAATTGAAAGATACACAGAGAGACAGAGGGAGACAGAGAGACACAGAGAGACACACAGAGAGACACAGAAACAGACAGAGAGCCAAAGAGAGACAGAGAGAATGACAGAGAGACACAGAGACAGAGAGAGAATGAGAGAGACAGAGAGAGACAGAGACACAGAGACAGAGAGACAAAGAGAGACAGAGAGACAGAGACAGAGACAAAGATAGAGAGAGGATCTTCCCACACCACGTGCTAAAGGAGTAATGTTCTGTAATGCCAAGATGGGAGGAAATTCAGCTAGGTAAGTTTACCTCAGATTTCGAGTTCAGAACCTTAGCAGAGGACATGCTGAATACTGAATGAAGTTACACAAATGCAAATGAGGGCATAAAGTTGTTGACTTTCATGCAGTGTTTGCCAGACTGGGTTGTACATTAGATTTCTCCAGGGGAGAGTTTCCACTTTGTGATGACCTGGTCACAACTCATGAATGCACTCAGCATGTTGAAACTACAAATCCATAACATTTATGAGTCATCTGGTAATTCATACAAGCCACAAAATATTGGAATTGCTATTTTCCTTTAGCCATGTCTTCACTATGCCTTCCTAACCTACCGACAGAGAGCTACCAAGGGCACATGTCTGATTACAAAGAAATACGTTTGCCTTCTCCTTGCATGTGTCACCTGTCTAGATCAACATTCCCAATTCC